ATTCCTACCCCTTGACGGGGACCGCCGCCGCCCTTCTGCCACAATGCAGAGAGGGGTGCGTGCACACGGCGGCGAACTATGAAAGGATAGCCCCGTACGACATGGGGCCAAGCTGGTAGGTGTGACTGGAATTGGAAAAAGTAAATTCCTTCGCATCCTGAACGATTTTGACCTTTTCTCTACCCTCTTTTCGATATACATCGATATTATAATAGACTCACTGGAATATTAGAAATAAAGGGAATGTAATAATCATAGTTAGGGGTATGCTACTTACAGTTTCTTGTATTTTATTAACACTCGAACTATCGACGACAAACGCGTATCTATTTCGATCGGTCGACAGAACGTGACAAACTTTTAAAAATTTACAAATTTATAAATTAACTAGACGAATTTCATATCGTAATAAAAGTTGCGAAAGATCTGAGAAAATGTATTGTCGTAACATTTTAATCATCGTTATAAGAGTGTACTGAGAAGTCATATTACCGACGGAAGAGGTATTTTGTAGAAACAAAATATACTCGCAAGAGACGATCGTTTATATAACCGAGAGACCCTGGGGTTGATCGTGAACCGTTCAATCGAGGTCCTACTGTATATTCGAAGCGTCACTTTATCGGTACAATCGCCCTCGCTTCCGCAGCTGTGCGAGAACAAATTGAAAAAGAAAAACATACACTAGTCTTTCGATCAGACCGCAATGGTGCACGATTACGTCAGTGGTAGCCTCGAGTCAGCCGGACAGATCGTAAAAAACTTGGATATAATAAAAAGTTTTGCAAACAGTTGCCTCGCGTTGCTTTATGACCGACGCAACCGGGCAGAAATGGGTGGAAAGGAGCAGGGTAGGAAACGTGGGGGGTAGGTGGAGCGGGCAGCGGTGGCAGAAGGGTGAAAAGTCCGTGTCGGTTCCTCCACCATTGTGTGTCTCCCCGGTTGAGTCGCGATTTTCATTTGCTTATTGCTTTGTTTCGCCGCGCTGGCACACCGGCTAACCGCCCCCCTACCCTCTGTGCAGGTGTGTGTTTTTACCCGCAAAGCTGGCGCAATGCCGTTAACATTCCACGGAATGTAGATGTAAAAAAGAAAGCCTCACGTAACAATCCGCAATAAAAAGCGCGGAGGCGCGCGGGAGGCTGCACGATCGCGGTCGGCGGTTCCTCGATGGGAACGGGCACGAAGCGTCTGCGTCGTCGGATTTCCGATTTCTTAATTTCCCCCTTTGAAAAACTCTTTGTTCGACGGTCCTCTATCTATCTTCCCCTTCATTTTCTGTCTCTCGTCTATGAATTTCAAGATTAAACGTGAGAGGACGGGAAGCACGATTTCTTCTCGATGTCGTTACACGAGGGGTACGTTGCAAAGCGTCCGTCTCGAAACGATCGTTCGACGCTGATACGTATTTCTCTTGTTTTTCATTCTCTCCGCCAGATGAAAATGTAACCTGGAATGCTTGGGAACGCACAGTTTACGACTGTTAATTGACGCCTCCTGAACCGCGACTGGTATAGATCGTGGACAGGATAAGTTTTGACATACCCCCGTCGTCGTTCCTAATTACAGAGCTGTTGTAACCCCCGTACGAATAATAATCCTTGGCGACTACGTATATACGTAGTCGTATAAACGATTAAAATTTTACAGAATCCATGGTGCAACTATCCGATTCCGTATCTCGGAGCTGCAATTTTGATTTTAATCAGGTATTCCAGTGGAACGATGAAAATACGCGTGGTTGCTCTCGGCCAGGACGTGCAAGAGGTCCTTCGAGTGTAGCGTTCAGGTCCCCCTTGCTGTAATCGCTTGTACATCCTGCAGGTGTCGCGTTTCGTTGTAAAACAGGCAACGTTTGGCGTGAACCCCAGTCGAAGACGATACCTGCCCGGTCCGGGTGACGTGGTTACGTCCATGGTTGGCACTAATTGCGGCAGCGAATAATTGCTCGATAAACATCCTGTTAATCTCACTTTTATGTTCCATACATTGTACCGCGTCGTTGCCTCGTAGCACGCGAGGCCCTCGTTTTCCGTCTCTCTCTCTCTCTCTCTCTCTCTCTCTCTCTCTCTCTCTCTCTCTCTCTCTCTCTCTCCCTCTCTCTCTCTCTCTCTCTCTCTCTCTCTCTCTCTCTCTCTCTCTCTCTCTTTCTAGCTCGTGACGTGAAACACGACAATTTTCATTGGTGCATACACTCCGTGTATCCGGTGTCTGACGTCGTATTTCTGACGACTATTGTAACAATTACCCGTACGGACGTAATTAAAGAAACGCAACTTCGTCGTACAATCCTCTCTACCCTTCCTTCCTTTCGACCATCGGGTTCGTTAAAATGCTCGGCTCTCGTTAAAATTTTGAAAAAGAATCCTCGCGAATAAACGCGATTCTATCTCGTGGGCCGGAATTATTATGGATCGTTCTTGGAGTAAGTTCGCGGGCTGACCGATTTCTTCGGTGGAGAAGCTGCGCGCAAGAAGAGGAAAGTTCGGTCGAGGCCGCCGTATGTCTCGTGGCAACCGTATGATGTACGATGTTTGTTCGGAAAGTATCTCGGTCGAGACCGAAAGAAAAACTGGATGAAACTCCGTGGCATTATGTAATGGAAACAGGTGGCGAAGTTGAAAGAATAATGTCTGGTGACCAGAAGAAAAAAAGGAAGCGTAGGTACCTCGAGAGATGCTTTCAGGAATCCTCTTCTGGATAGGTTCGTGGAAGTGTTCTCGCGTGTCGCGAAGACTCGTGATTCATTCCACAAAGCATGTTAATTCCAGCGAGCATTTTTCTCCTCTAAACTCGTGTACTGTTTCGATTCCATCGCGGATCACACATCGCGGAAACCGTTTTCCCCGAATCCTCCCTTTTCAGAAGCATCGGCTCCCATTACACGTCGAGGCAAAGTGAAACACACAAAGCGTGGGGGGAGGAGGAGACGGTCTCGTAAATACGCCGCGCGCGAGCTCACGGATAAAGCTTCGAACCGGGTGGTACGTGCTGTGCAAGTAAGCGCTGGAAGAAACCTAGAAAACGTACTTTTCCACGGGAAGAGAGGGAAATAAGAAGACGAAGGAAAAGGAAAAAAAAAGGTAGCACCGAGGGAAGACGACTGTTTCGCGATGGTTCTCGAGTTACTTGAAACTCTCTGCGGGTGGGGATGTCGGGGGGTGGGTGGGGGGCGGTGGAAAAAGTTCCAGTCCAACGTCTTGGAAGTGTCTAAAAAAGAGAAACTCCGTCGGTTGAGACCCGGGACTCTAAGTGTATCACATAGTAAATTTAGTTTTCCAACCTCCGTTTCCACCGCGCCCCAGGCCCCCCACCCACCTTTTTCTCCCTCCCTCGTGGCTCGACCTCCAGCCTCGAGAGTCGACGCTGTCTGCGATGAAATTCCTTCCCCGTGCCTTTCCTGAGGGATCGTCGGCCATCTTTGCCAATATGGCGGACCCAGGTCCTGGATCCGTTCGAGCGAATCTGGCCGATCAAACGGAGGCTAAGAGCCACGCTTTCGTTCGAGTTAACTCAATCCTACTGGGCTCTCTACCACCCACCACCCCCAACCACTCCCCAGACCTACCCGTTGTGCTATCTCCCTCAGGTTTCTATCTTCTCGCACACCTACTCCGTCTTTTTCTAGACTTTCCGCGTCGTTCTCCCCTGCTGTATCCCTCCAGGTTCGGTCCGCGCCACCCACGGACCGTTCCAATCGATGAGCTCGCGACAACGGCCCTTTAGATACTTTTAGAAGCCCGCAGAGCATCTCCTTCCTCCTCCAAAGGGGGTTGCCACCCCTGATCGGTCCCCTGACGGGATTGCCTTGAGCCGAAAGAATCTTTTGCTGTTTCATCGGGGGGGTGGGGGAAGAGACACTCTCTATCCGCTTGAATTTCACCTGAAATAAGGTACAGGTACGTGTACCTACTCGATTTTCATCCCAAGTTCTCGGTCGGTGGAATACATACTAGCAATCCGTTTCGAACTCTTAACTATGGCGATAGAATAACATTACAACGGGATTCGAATACGTTACGAAATTTCCACGTGGATTTGAATACCTTTCGATCGTCCACCGTAGACCGTGTGAATGATTTTTCTCTGGGTAGATGTTTCCAGGGGCTAGAAAATTGCGTTTCTACGAGCCACCGCCCGGGCCGCGATGGAAGAAATAAAAGGAGCGGCGTTAACGAGATTCGAGGGGGATGAACCGGGGACACGGGCCGTGGATTGGCGTGCGTACGTGAGTGTCCCAGCGTCAGATTTGATCCGGGTAGAACCAGTGTACGTTTGTGTGTGTGCCTCCGCGTGTGTATGCGTGGCGGCGAGGAGAAGCGCAACTTGCCGACGTGTATATCGGGTGTAATCGGTTTCCTCGGGGAATCCCACCCTCTCCGTGGGTGCCGGCGAACATGGGGGGGTATAATTTGCGGCGTCTCGACGCGGCTGCGTGGTCCAATCCGCGATACCAGCCAATCGGCTCACGGCTGCGCGATGCTCCGACTGAGAACAAAAGGATCTCCGCCGATAGAGAGGCGGCCGCGATATCGTCCATGCGGGGACCAGCAAAAACCCAGAGGCACCCGCGCGCCGGCATCGATTACTTCCCCCCTACGGGGCGCAATAAAGCCTCTCTCTTCTCCGACGAAACTTCGTCCTCCTCCCCCATCCCTCACCCCCGCCCATTCCCGAAACTTGCATGGAGAATCTCTGTGTTTACTGTTCGCCGTTAGGGAAGGAGGCTATTGGTTGACCTCCAAGGGTCGTATGCAGGGTGTATCACGGAATACAAAGCACTGCTAATCCGATCTCTCTTTAACTCCCGTGCCCGTCCCAGTTTCATCGGGTATTTTAACCGATTTAAATGATGAAAGTAGTTACAGTCTCTGGAAGACTCGATCGTTCTCGTAGACGTTGGAGAATGACTCGAGGACCTTTCATGAAGTCGTGTAATAAAGAACATTGCTCGGATTTCCAAACGAGAATTTAAAACGAATGTTCACCGGCTTTTCCAGGCGGCAAAGAGGACGACCCGAAGAGCTCCTCGTCCAGCACGCTGAGCTCCGCGCAGAGCAAGAAACAACGCAAGGCCAGGACCGCGTTCACGGATCATCAGCTGCAAACGTTGGAGAAGAGTTTCGAGCGACAGAAGTATCTGAGCGTGCAGGACAGGATGGAATTGGCGTCGAAGCTGCAGCTGACCGACACCCAAGTCAAGACGTGGTACCAGAACAGAAGGTAGGATTAAAAATCGCGTGGAAATTTATGATATAGATACACACCCACGGTTCGACGGATTACGGCTGTCCCACGGTGACAATAGGGGGACGGTGGATAATCCCGAAGAATAATAAACAACCCCCTCGCGACAGACGAGACGACACCCAAGACACATTAATAGGTTTCTCGAGACAGACGACGCCGGTCGAAGAATACACTCGTCGAACAGGTTGCGTGTATAAACAGACTCGAAGTCGAAGTACAAATTGTTTAACCCTTTCGTTGCGACAAATTCAAACGTAATCGACGTGTGGCGTATAGTCAAACTTTTCGTTAGTGACAACTGGACTGCGGATATTTATACAAATATCAATTTTAGGGGACTGATTTAGAAAAATTGCGAATCTAATAGAGTGTTTGTTTCGATAAGACTTCTTTGGGATTCATCAGAAAATAATAAACTTGGTAAATTTTATAAAATGTCCACCGCTACTCTGTTTTAAACGACGGTGTATGCGATAATTGCATAAAATCTGAAAATTCACGCGGTGATCGGTAATTGCAACAGTGTGCTTTTATAAATCATGCCAATACCAAGCGCGTTTGTGGTTTGAACGCCTGCAGGCTCCAACAGCGTACTCCGAGCAAAATTTCAGAATGTTTATAGGCGGCAACAGCAGCGAAAGGGTTAACAGCGATCGGGTAAACGCCGAGTCGGACTTCTTCGTGCTTGAATGGGTCCCCGAAAAAATGAGGGGAAGCACAAATAAGTGGGCGAAGCAAAAACCATTGTTCCGGCCATTTAATAAAGCCCGTCCCGTGAGAGTCTCTGAAAAGAAACGTTGTCTGGTTGCTGCTTACAAAAGAACGCGCGAATCACCGTGTTCCCGGGCGACGCATCGCCCCTGATAAATGAAAACCGGGGGTCTTTTGAATGGAGAGGAACTGAAGATTGACTCTGTAAACGCCGCGGCTTGAAAGGAACGATAAGAAACCGATCGTGAAAAAGAGGGCTGATCGATCGGACGGGGCCGTCGGTCGACATTTTCGTTACTTTGTGCATGTCAATCCGCGCGCGCGCGCGCGCGCAGGGAGATGGCTCCTCGTCATGGACGCGGAGAATCGTGGGCCGGGGCCTCGGTCTTTCGTGACGGCGCGTAACGAATCCGTAAATGGAAATCGCGGTGGCCAACAAAGGCGCTGTTTACGTGGTTAAACGCAAGAGGATCACCACAGACCTGGTTCTCCTCGGACCGGAGTATCTCGAGAGTCATGTAACCTCTTCGGGGCTTGGGTCTTCGGGCGCAAACATCGGTAATCGCGGTAGCGTGAACGATCGTTTAAAAAACCGAGAGCCAGGCCCAGTAGGTTTTTGTTCGTGACCGTTCATTTTTACACGTAACGGAATTTTTGCACTGTCTCGAACTGGAATTCAGATTTTGGCAACTCGGAATGTTGGATTGCACTTGGTTTCATTCAAGACTGATAAAGGATTGGAAATTCGTTTCTTTTTTAAATACGGGGTCATGATCGAGCCTTTTAATCTCGATGAGCAAAAGAGGGATTAGGTTAGACGGTGGTAGAGTCGATTTCAGGGATCCTCAGCGGCATCCTTTGTGCCCGAAGAGGTTTCTACCGAGTCATTCAGTGGCGCCTTGCAATTCCGTTCCTGTCGATACCTCGTGTCCACCTATATTTCCCTCGATCATCACGCTTGTTAGTCACGAGGATCCTGATGGTTGGGATCCACCGAGGAAAATTAAAATCGCGCACAGAGGATTCTCTTTTCGGCAACGCTTCGCCACGCTCTAGTCTACAAAGAACGTTCCTCTGTCCTAGGGTGTAACATTTCACTCTACAGCTTCTTTGGTCCCGTTAGCGACCCCCCTCCCTATAGCATCTCGCGGGATCTTCAACGATAGAACGAGAATTTCTAATCAAAAGGTGATTCAATTAACATTAGACTGTGTCGAGCCTTGCATTTTAATCCTCGGCCATTGAAATACCTTACAGTTAGGCAACGCTACCCCTTTACCATCAAATCATCGTGGACACTGCAAAGACCTGGGACAGGCAGTCTCATAGAAAATATAAATTTCAAAAGAATATTCAAGCACAGAGCTCGAGAGAGCGAAGACGGCGAGGAAATTAGTTTCTCGATGCTACAAACGGGTCCGAGAGAGAGAGAGAGAGTGGGCTGGTTGTGTCCGCCGGAAGACGGTTCATTTTCCACGCTGGAATTTCCGTCGAATTTTCGTGAAACGACCCATCCGCCACGGGGAACGGCTTCACGCCAATTTTCAACCCCGTCTTTAAACCGGCTTCAACGTTCTTAGGGTGATTAGCCCCGTTCCCGGAACACCCGCGACTCCGGTGACTACGCGACTTTCACGGCCGTTTCAGTTTGGACAAGCGGCCGATCAAAGAAAGGCGAATCGTTAATGAGGATCTGGAGGGGGGGGGCGGGGGAGACCATAGTGGATGCGCCACCGTATAGGCATGGCCGGAGAACGGAAACAGGGGAACCAGAGGAGGGCAAGAGACCCGTTCCCGCCTAAAACCGTGCCATTAGACTGTCAATTACGTGGCGAGCGAACGGTCGTAATGACAGACGCCGACGTTGTCAGCCGGTTGCAACCCCGGCGGAGAGGACCGTGCGGCTGCATTTCGGTGGCTCGATTTTTCAGGTCTAATTGCAGACGCTGCTCGTTTCGCTGCCGTACCCGCCGCCGTTTCACGCTTTTATCGGCCGGGCTAGTTCGTGATTCGCCGTCACACACGCGAGTGAAACGATCGATCCATGTGATCACGCTATATCGCGTTCACCGGGTAGGCAGTAGAACCAGGGAACCGACCAAGGGTCGAACCGGATTAATCAGAGTCGACTACGATGGGACAAACGACCAAGAGGTGTGTGTATACGCGTGCCATGATTATCGCCGGTTTCGGACCCAGGGATATACCAGAAAGGACCCGGCTAAAGAGACCGCAAAAACCCCCGGGAAAATTAGTGACGCTCCTGTCCGTCGGGTTCTTAAGTGCCCGCTTAAACTTTTGTTGCTCCGTACACGGTGATGCTGCTGCTACTGTGGCTGCTGCTGCAGTGACTAGGCGCCTTTTGCGCGGAGGCGCCGACCACACCTCGGGCGCCACGCCGACGGATTTCGTGTCCTTTTTCTCCGAGAATCCACCCCTCTCCCCACTGGAGGAGAATCACGCTGTTTCACCGGGGACGAACGGTTATAAACCTTCCCCCTCCGATGCGTGTCATTAATTCCTCGTTACGTTTTCCCACCCCTACCCCCATACCGTGAAAGTTAAGTACCGCGATTAAGACCACTTATTCATCAACATGGAAAAATTTCCATCGAACTCGAAAAGCCGCGAACGACGAAATATCGGCGGAATCGATCCGGTTAACGAGGCTATCCACGTGGGTAAACGTAGAAAAGGAAAAACCGGATGGAAAGGGAGCCCCCCCCAGGTAATGAACGCCTCCAGTGGATCGGTGTTTAGACGCCTGCTCGGAATAACCGTTTAACGCCGCGCGAACTTCAAGTCACGGTGATTTTCTTTCGCGGCCGTAAAACGTGCTTTCCTCGGAATCGATCCACGGCTAGGAAAATTACGCGTGTTCGAACCGCGATTTAAAATCTTCCGGACGGTTTTTCCACGTAGTTGCCGCCCCCGGTTGGACGAAGCGTGCGCTAGGACTCGGTTATTTCGCAGTCATTAGGCTTACGTTACGTTGCCCCGCGAGCAGGTCGTCCCTACTTACCTACAGGCTAATTGCGTACACGACCGTGGTGTCCAGAGAGGATTAGGGAGAGAGACAGGTATCGCCTAAGCGTGTGCCACACGCTCTCAGTCTTTAGACTCAGCGTATGTATACTTACACAGACGGATTCTAATGAAACGTGGCGCTCGCGCGGTCGTGTGCTCGTTTATGTAATTCGTGATGGGCTTATCCGTACGGACACGTTAGATTTATGCGTTCCGTGGCGGATTTATCGCCGCCACCCCGGCGCGCACGCGGGGGAAACCTTAGCACCGCAATTAGCTCGAATATCCACGGCCTTAACCCCCCCCCCCCCATCCGTACGACATGTATTTCGCGGACGTCATTTTATTCGGTTAATGAAATTTCCAAGCTAAAAACGTAGAAAAACGATCGATGTATCCTCATAGTAGACTGAACGAACGATAAGGCATTACAGTAAATGTTCGATTAACGCCCAAAAGTTATCGTAGAAATTGTGTCAATTCGTGAATTACATTTCGGACCGAGCCTCCAGTGTTGAACCCTCTTACCAGTGGAGACGAAGCAAAAGTGCATTTCACGTAGAGATCTCTCCGAGCAGTTATCGAGAATTTACTGTAACTGGTAAGGTTGGCGGAGTAACGAGAAGGTTAATTGTTCGCGAATGAAACTGAATGAAATCGACAGGGTAGGGGGAAACCGAGTCATCGTTGAAAATGGAATGGCTTGGAGGGGATGATATTGTGTAAGAAGCAGTGTGCTCGATTGCGAGAAGGGAGATCGGAGCACCGCGACGTAGAGGCAAAAGGGGGAGGAGCAGCCGCTCTCTCGGTAGCGATTTCAAAAAACGTAAGTCGAGCTCTGGAAAGCAGCATCGAGCTACCGCATAATACTCTAGAATTACGAGTCACGTCCCGGGGGCAGGATTCTCTCGCACGCACACGTTGAATACTCCGGTGGAAGTGCTTATGGGATGAGGACGCTGGGGCGCGTACACATGGAGGACGCGACTCGCATGATGACAGTCGTGAAAAAAACAGAGGCGTAAATGCTCGGGGGTATCGTCGAACGAAGAGAATAATTAATCCTTCGTTGTTGCCCTACGATTAATAAATAAGGAAAGATACGTTAAGTCTCGTTTAAACGAAACCACCAATATGGAGTAATGATCGCGAGCAAAATGAAGAGTTTCGCGCTCGTTACACGGTATCATCAACTCTACGTACCTACGCTCGAATACTTTACTACAAGACAATCTAAAAGCGATAAGTCGTAGACCCGGATGATTAACTCTAGAGGATTACACGCGTAACGAGTCTCCGCGTGGCGACGCCGTCGAGAGATAGCTTGCCGTTAACGCACAGGGATGAGCAAAGAAGTTAATGGTCAAAGAGAGTTCTCGTTCTGTCGCAAAAGGCGTTCCACGCGCATTGTTACGTTGCCTATTTTCCTTAATTACAGAATTAATTGTCGAAGACAGCCCGAGATAATCCGTGGAGAAAGTACTCGTAAATATAGCAATTACGACGGCGCGGTGGATTGAAGTTACACTTCCCGTAGTGGCGAACGCGAGGAAGAACCGAGCTACTACGCTCGGAAAGGCGATCTGTTAATTAGAGCCTCGCGCGTGCAAAACATTTCCATTGAAACAGTAAATTAGGTGCAAATTTTACCGCGGGATCGAGGAAAAGAAACTGTCGGGAGAAATGCAGAAAAGAAACCGCCGGTTTTTCCTTATACCCCCCTCCCCCTTGTTTTTCGCCGGTTTTTGCGGCGGTGGCGACGCCGTGCACAATATGGCGACATCGCTAACACGTTGTGCGCGATACGTCGGAATCGTGAGAATCCCGGGCCCCGTTGTTTCTTGAGGCTTCTCGACACCAGCCGGAAGAACACACGAGCTTCCCACGCCTCTAGTAAACCGCTTTATAACGGATCGTCTTGATTTCTCGGCTAGTCAAACGCGCTCGTTTCGACGAAGGATCTTTTTCCCCTGTTCAACGTTCACCAACCTGCCCCTCCTCACTCTCTCTCTCTCTCTCTCTCATTCTTTTCTCCATGGTCACCTCGTCCCGCCTCATCGTAGCAGCCGCTCTTTCTCCCCAGGTCGTCCGCGACGTGATTCGAGAAAAATTCGTGTCACGAAACCTTCTCGGTGCCGGTGATCTCGTGTTACGATTTCAAGTACACGCCGTCGCGGAATTTCACGAAATAGCTAGAAAAACGAGGCTAATCGGCAGTCCCGCGATAACCGGCCCCCAGGAGGGTCGGCGAGGGGATTGTTCGCGGCGTATAACGATCTATTTGCATGCGCTTTTGTCGGCCCATAATGCGCCCTGTAATACACGAGAGCGTTCGGTTTTCCCGTCTAAAAATACGAACTAGCGCGGTAATTTCGCCTCGTGAAAGCGGTGGGCTCGAATCGCGATTTTCTCGGCTCGTTACCCGCCACCCTCCATGGATCACAATTTTCGTAGATTTGTTTATCTTTAACGGGCGTGTGCAGAGCCGTGGTTCGCGGAACCAGGTTAAAATCACGGGGAACTGTTATGTAAATTCGTCTCTGGCCGGCCTGAAATACTTTCCGCGGCTTCTTTCACCTTCTTCCCCTGTGTAGAACTTTCTCTATTTCGAATGGTTACTTTCCATTTATGTTCTTCGTTTCGTTTGTTTTAATTCCGGTGCGCTCACTGTTTTGTGTCGTGCCCTGTGCACTCCGAGAACTGGTCCCGTTTGTAATGGTAGTAATTGTTGGAGCAGGGTAAGAAAAGAACATAGGGCAACGGTTCAATAAGTTCACGTATGATACAGTACTTTGGAACTCGTTTTATCGACACGTGTTATTGATACGGCTGTCTTTTTACGACTGTACCGTATATCACATTTGAATTTCACGATTACAGTTAATTTTGCGGTTGGATTCTACATTGCCGACATTAATAGTAATATACGGCTGGGTGATACGCAGCCAGTCAGCCAGTCGGTCGCACAGACACCGATCCCGTGGAACATGTGTCCCAGTCGTGGAGTCAGTGAGGCGAGTAATAATTTAAAAATATGTCGCCCTATTCACCGCTACTTTTTCTCTGTCTCTGTCGCCATTATTATCGCGACCGAGGCTCTGGCAGCTTGGGTGCATTAGTGTCGCGCGGGGCTTGGTAACCGCAAAACCACCGACCAGTCTCAACGACCATTATAAATGCATTAACTCTCTCTCTCTCTTTCTCTCCCTCCCCTCGTCGATGTTGTCTGTCCTCCCCCTTTCAACCACGCATCGGTCGCGTAATTTTCATTCTTTTTCTTGCGTATCCTTCGTTGATTTAAGTAAACTGCGTCCCATAACTCAGGCCCCGGTTAAACGCTCGACATTGTCGGGGGACGGAAGGTTTCGTTCAAGAAACTCACCGAAGAATTCACGACAACAAGAGCAAGAGAGATAGATAAAGGCTTCGATCAAGGTAAATCTCACCGAGAGTCACGCGGAACAACAACAGTCCCCCTCCCCCTTGGCCACCCGTTCCATCGTCTCTGAAAAGTCGACGATCATTAAGCACCCGATGGAAGCGATCGTTACAGTTTCTTAACACTTCTCTGCCCCTCTACATCCCCCTTTTCACCCTTGGTTGTATTCGAGCAAGATCGAAGCAGCCCTCGGGTACCTCTCGAGAACGATAAATCAATGACTCTTGCTCTTTCCGCCACTACTTCCGACCCCTTGCGTTCTCTTCTTGCTCTCTCTCTCTCTCTTTTTCTCGCAATTTCTCCCTTCAGCGGTTATTCAATGCCGATACAAAGAGCCGGCAGGGCAATTAAGGGTGTTTTAGAGTGGCTGCACTCGAAAATGACCGGCGCGACCCCTAGTCGACGGTGGGGGTATTAAAAAACATTACTCATCACATAATCGCACGAGTGGTTTTCATTGCAACTTGTCGTTTCCCGTCCTCTCATCCTTTCCCTGTCACTCTCTCCCTCTCTATCACTCTCCACCGTGTCTCGTTCTCTTGTGACTGTGCATCGGCCGGGTCTCCTTTTCTCCGGCGTGCCAGCAGAAAAATGAGAAATGATCGTGGCTCGATTCACAGGGCCCCTGTTTAAAATTCATGAACGATTTTACTGCTACCCCACTCCCCACCTCTATCGTCGACCGTCACAAAAGCCCGAGAGCAGGGGGGCATATCGCGAGAGAGTGGCCCACATTTTCGACGATCCGCACCGTTACCGTGCGAGAGAGAGACAACTGAAGAGGTAGGAAGGGGGGTGGGGATATGCACCCCCTGAAATATATTAATTGTCGAATTTTCCGTGCGAGTTGCATATCCGTTAGAGCCGCTTTGTCCCTTGCCAGCCACGGATCTCCTGATTATTAATTACCTGACAACGAACTCCATCCCCCCCTCTCAACCCCTCTCGTCCACCGTCCAGTGAAATTCGCGGCGGCCTCGTTTCGAAGGGTTATAGTCACGGATTTTTTTTTTTCATTTTAATTTTTCATCCCACGCTGCCGGTTTTTATGGAAAAACGTAACGAATGTCCCTGCAAGCGGTCGACGGGGACACTCGCTCGTTAATTATCGTCCCGAATTCCACGAAACGAGCACGGAGGGGGGATCGTCGGCCTTTTAATCGAGAGAGGGTGGCCGTGTAGCCGCGGAGCTGATTTATCATCGGGATAATCGCGACGTTTGACGACGGCCAGTCGACAGGCTCGGTTGGCCGATATTTTATTGGCGATTTCGCCCTGTGCCAGCTCGTCGCCCTTATCGGAATTTTCTAATTACTCCGCCGCCGGTTAATTATCGCACGGGCGAATCGAGTGATTGGTCGATCGATTTATTCGGACCGTGAAGCCCGATTAAACGGGGATCGTTTACGCGTATAACCGGCGTTAATTACAGGAGCTTCGACCGCAATCCAAAAATTATTTCTTCGTCGAGTCCGCCAAAGGCCACACGATATCGGGCTTTTTCTTTCCCTTTTCCACGTTTCCTTTTTCTCTTCTGTTTTCTATCCACGATTTACTGTTCCATCCGCGGACAATAAAGCGTAACATTACGTTTACAGTAATAACAAACGCGTAATGCTCTGTAACTCGAGCGAGAGAACTAAATCACAACGTGTCGCTTTGAAACATCAGACTGGCAATTCTCCTCTCCGCTCTTGAATAATTGCACGCCGCGCAACCAGTTGCGTAATTGATCCAATTGAAATACCATTATCATCCTGCTCTATCTCTCTTGCAGCCTTCTCTCCGTGTAATCGGAATTTCCACGGAGAATCTAGGGTTCGAGAGATTCGTTCTCTTGAAATGCGACGAATAACGAAACTTTTCCGGGAGCTGTTGCTTTCTGATCAATTGGAGACGCGCACAGTGCAAAATTCGTTATTATTTCTCATCGACTGGTCGATTTCCTTCTCCTTTATATTCGACTCTCAAAGTTGTCTCCGGCCCTGCCATTGGTCGATACCAGACCCCGAAACGGCATATCTCACGCGCGTCTAAGGGCGACTTCGCGTTCCCAGGCGAGACGTAGGAAGCGGCGCGCGTGGCATGATACGCGATGATTAGGCAGCGAAACTCCACGGGCTATTTGTTAGTATAATAAGCCCTCCGACAGTGTGGCCAACGTAACCACTTGCCGGCACGCCACTCCGTTTTAACGTAATTGTCCCAGATCGAGATTTACATACGTAAACGGAGATTGGAGAGAGAGTGAGAGAAAGACCGGGTGAAGTCGAGGATATTCCGGGAAATTGCAGGGAGCCATGAACAGTTTTTTGGTTTGACCCTGAATACCGTTGGAATTTTCACGACAATCGGATGCGAATAACGACTGCTAACGTTTAGGTGGACAGACTAGAAAGAGTATTTTTTCGCAGCATGCCCCTGAACGATATACAGTAAATCCTCTATGAGCGTTCGAAGGCTTCTCAGCACTGATAGTGATCAAGCTTGAAGTTCTGAAGTCAATGATATTTGTTTCAGCCGCATATGGTCATTAATTTATGAAATATTTCAAGTTCGATGTCGTGGAGCCTTCGAACACTCATCGAGGATTTCCTGTATAATACATCAATACGTCTTAACGATTCACGCTATATCGTCATTCTGTATGATCTTTTACACCGAACCAAGTAGAATCGAAGCAAGATTGATAAATTCTTTTCCCCCGTTGATTTTTCCAGAACGAAATGGAAGAGACAGACGATCGTTGGGTTTGAGATGATGGCCGAGAACAATTTCGCGGTGGCGGCGTTCCAGCAGCTGTACGGAAGCGCCGCGGCCGCGGTACCAGCGCATCCTGCCGCGGGACGATACTGGCCGTACCCGAGTGCCCACGCGTTACCAACCAACGGACTGTTCTATCAGCAAACATCGGCGGCGGTTACACTACAGAAACCTTTGCCGTACCGTCTCTATCCACCGACGATGATACTTGCACCGGGACCCAGCAATCCGCTGGGCTCTTTGACGGCTAGCTCAAGTTTGTCGAATCTGAGCAATTATTACAGAGACAGTCCGGAGATGGGCGACGGACGGGAGAGGGAGACGATGGAACGTTCCTCGAGGCAAAGGGACCGAAGCAAAAGTCCAGCGTTGCGGGACAGATCGCCGTTGCGAAAGGACGAAAGACTGTACGCGCCCACGATGGTTCAAGCGGGTTCGAGCAACAATCTAGGCACTCTCACAGCTAGCTCCAGTTTATCGAACTTGAGCAACTATTACAGAGACAGCCCGGAAGTGGCGGACGGCCGGGAACGAGAGAACAGAGCAGCCACGAGACAAAGGGACCGAAGCAAGAGTCCCGTTTTAAGGGATAGATCCCCTCCAATGCGCAAGGACGATAGACTCTATCCACCCACGATGCTCCAACCGGGACCCAGTAACACCATAGGATCGCTCGCGTCGAATCTGAGCAACTATTACCGAGACTGCTCGGATATAATCGACGGAAGGGAGAGGGAGACTATCAGCAAGGTCAGACAGAGGGACAGGAGCAACAGTCGCGATGGATCGCCGTTGCGGAGGGAGGACAGCCCTCAGAGTATAAGAGCGGACAGCGACGAGGAAAGTATACACGATATCTAGGACAGAGATGTCCAGGGATCTGTAGAGCGCTGTAACGTCGTGGTCGACGACGTTTCAATTTCGACTCGGGAGTTCGAATAATGTGTCCGAGACAGTAGAACGGGAAACCCTCGTGACGCGTATTCGGAATCCTTCCATAACGGAGCAAAGCTAGACGGTTTAGAATCGTCGTTTCATCGAGCAGTTTAGAGTCCAGTGTCCTGGAGTCAAGGTACGATTTCGAAGCAGAAGAACCTTGTCGGAGTCATTCCCGATTGTTGCGTATGTTACTAAACCGGCCGATTTCACGAGGTGGAACTGGAGAGGAAGTGACACGGCAAACGGGACATCCGGAGTTTCCCAGATAATGAGAATGCGCGAAGAGGAAGCGCCGTGCGGTTAACCAGAGCTCTCCGTGATTCGAACGTTTAGTGAACCATGCGCGGCGGCACGATGTATGCGATTAAACAGGAAGATAAAATAACTCCCACCAGTCCCGGAGAGGATCATCGGAGGCACCAAGTGACTCTATCGATTCGGAGCCAGAGAAAGGAGAAAAAAAGATCGAACACAACCGGAAGGGGATTTGTTCGCCGCCACGGATCAGGAATCGCGTGCGGACGGGTGAACAGTGAGATTTCGATCGGTAAAAGGTCGTCACTTTCCACGGTGTAAATAAAAAAAGAAAAAAAAAAAAGAAATTGTTCGCCCGTGTTCGAGGGGGGAAACGTAAACCATAGGTTAGAGAGCTAGACGCTCTAGACCTGGAATCGAGGACGGTTATACGGTCGCGCCAGGATACGAGCCAATCGCGTACGAACGCGAATATACAATTAATATGACATTAGGGGGGACCTGCCTGCGGGGGAACGAAATCTAAAATGACACGAAATTACCGCGCAGGGTCGCCCGTTCAAAAGAAAAAGAAACGTTGGAAAAGAGGGGACACGATGGGCGAGACAGCTCTCGATCCCTGGCGAGCGGGCCCCTGAACTATTCAAATGGTCGAGCGTATCTCGTTGGTCCCCGACGTAACCGACAGTTTGCTCGATCTTCCGAGTGAAATACGCGAAGAAATTGACCGATCGCCTGTTGTAAATACGATACACGACTTTTCAGCCACGCGATTCGTCGCGGTCAGTGTCGACACAATCGTACTTTCACGTTCGAACGATGGAATTGTAAATAGCTACCGCGTGGTGATGCGTTTGGAGTTATGCGCGCGTTCGGTTGGCGGAGATCGCGATCGTTCGATCGGTCACACGTTTTTGAAACGTGAGGCCAACCGATAACGAGATATTTCGAAGTATTTTTCAGATTCCAGTATACGTAGAGGAACGCGGGGTGAAACAAACGTGTACTCGTGTCGTTTCGAACATCTCGATTGTTCTTCAGATGAGAAACCCATCGGGGGTGCCACACACCGCGTGAACACGTCGCTCCGCGTTCGGCGATGAAATACCAGTATTATGAATGTATAAATATTAGGCTGTAACGACGGAAAATGCAGGTGTACGAGGCAAATGAAAAAAAAAAACAAAAAAGATGGAAACATTTAGAGAAACGGTACGACGACGACAACGACGACGACGGCTTTTGTTGTAAAATCCGTCGGAGACGCGATCGGGTCTCACGGTATTGTGTCGTGCGACTTAACGTTTTAAGTTAAATTGCAGCAACAGGTTACACAGTATAAAACCATGCTTTGTAAAATAATGTCTGTATAGCGAGAATTATTATATGGAAAATATATTATACGAAATTTAAGGAGGGCCGCTTTTCTTTCTTGCGCCACGTGTGTTTTCTGCTTCTTCTTATTCTTTATTAATTAACAGACCCATCCTGTTTCGCGTAATAAGTTCGTTAGTATTCAACGACGGTAATTGACGCGATCGCGATAAGCAATGTGGCAAGAAACATTCTGACTGCTTGTCCGCGCGCGAACTACTCGTAACAAGGAAGATTTACCGAATTTCATTACACACATACACACACGACCCATTATCTTTCCCGTCCGGACATTAAAGTTTAATTGAATACCACGAATTAGCACTTTCTTCGCGGCCGATGTTAATAACGAACCGGAAACCGTTCGTAGATTGCGATCAGAAAATTATTTCGTTATTCGCAAATGAAGAGAGAAGCTGTCCGTCCCTCCTTCCCCACCGTCCACGTGAAAACTCGACGATCGAGATAGCTTCTACCGAAGAAAACCGGATCTACTCGTTCACCCATCGATCCCCCCTGTCTCGTGAATAATGCTTGCAGTACAGATTGGCCTTTAAACGGACTCGAAGCAGCCGCGGGACAATTTTCACGCGACGATGCATACTGCAAGACTTTTACGATCGGGTTAATGTCTGTGCAGGGATCCAGTCTACACACGGTGTTTCTCTATTTGCATTTCTATTCATTCACGTGAACAAACGCTACAACGAACCATTATGAATATCTAGAATAGTTGTTACTTTTCATGGTTCGTAGGTTACCAAAGATTCGAAACGTCAATATCGGAAATTTTCTTCGCAAAATTTCTTTTCCCAACTTAATATCACAGCGATGATTCAATAAAGTTTCATTCCTGGTTCACATGAAGGAATCCCAAACGGTTGTCACGAATCGCGTCCGGCTGTCTCCCGTTCTCCGTTAACCGACGAATATTCGGTGACGCGGCGGCGGGGTGTAATTTGCGACTTCGTCGAAGGTAAAACCCGAGGAGCGTGACAGCGTGCACGGGCCTTAATCGCGTTTGCTTATTTCCGGCGTTGGTCAGCCGACGGTCTGCAATTATGTAGGAGCGAGAGCGCGAGCGCTAACTGCCGCGCAAGGGCTTATTTTATTCCTATTAGGGTAAAACGGGTAGCTAAAGGGGAGGGTGGAGAGGGCCAGGGGGAAAGAGGACGCGAAGCGGCGATGCGAGGCGAGGCGCGTTCTCCTGTATCCCCAATTACGTGAAATTAATTTCGGCCCCCATTAGCGGTCGGCCACTGGCACCGTGTTAACGATTTTTCTCAGCAGCGGCCTCTCTCTATCGGCCCGCTTAAACGTATCGAACGAAAAATATTACCAAAGCCTGTGTAAACATTCTGTTCTCTCCTCTGCTCCAAAAAAGTTCCACAGACGATGCGATTTATCGTACGACAAGTTGTAAAACAAATTGCATAGGAAGATGCACAGACAGAAGTACGAAAAATCGTATCGATTATGGGCCTTTGCGATTTTTTTTGAGAAAACTATTGATAACATCAGAATAAACGCTTTTGAAATATAAAAAACCATGCTTAAATTATACTCTTCGACAATGTAACCATTGCGGGCGTGTGTAATGTAATGTATTTGTCACGGTTATCAGAGTGCAACAAATTTTTTATTTTTCCAACCCGTTACACGAGAACCCCCCTTTATTCGTTGAATTAAATGCGAGAGAGCACCGTTCCTGTCGTTGTCTGTGACCGGCGTTAAAATAATTCCGAACCCGGCAGCAAACGTGTTAAATGTTGCTCGACAATGTACACACGTTACTCGACGATGGTTTTCTCGCACGGAAACGAACAACCGCGAGTAGATTCCGTCGCGATAGAGACGGCCGCGGTTAACGATCTTTCGGTGAAAGGAACCGGGAGAGGAAAGTGAGAAATATTTATTGTCCCGGTGGCCCGTTGTTCTTTCTTACTTTCTATGGAAGTTTATAAGCGTGCGCGCGAGCGTTTCGAACGAGCGTCACTTCCGTGGGACAAACGACGGTGGTGGGATCGCTAAATAATATCGCGGGCTCTTTAACGTACAGCATAACGGACCTCGTAAAATCTTTCAGAAACGACTAACGCGCGCTTTGCATAATTGCAGACCCTACACTGAGGCTCCGTGAAACGGATGGCGCTTATTAGGGCAGAAAACTGGAGGGTAGGAAATCACAGTTTTCGTTTTTTTTTTCGAATTGCCCGCGAGTGTTCCACGCGAAAGGGTTTTGCGTTTCCCGAAGAAGAGGCTGCTGTCGCGCGCGCGCACGCCCGATGGAAACCAAAGAAGACGGTGGGGAACAAGGGACCGTCCGGCCGAGAGGATGTGGTTAACCCCACGGTCAAATCGTGCTTTTGCCGGGCTTCTGCATCCTGAACCATGGCGACAAAAGAGAGTCACCGGAACAGAAATACGCGCAGGGCTGTGTACACGTATACATACATATATGTGTATACATATACTAGCCTGCCCCCCGCATCCTGTACCGAACAATTCTCGTGACCCCTGTCCGCGTTTGCGAATTCACTTTCCTGCCAGTCTCCGTAATCGACCAATATACTGTACGTCGTTGGAACGTCTTAATTATCCATCAGTTCATCGACGTATCGTGTCCCGACGAAAATAGCTTCCGAACGAGGATAAGAGAAAAGCACGCCGCGCCTGAAAAGACCTGGTTCAATCGATTATCATCAACGTCCCGCTATCTTAGGATTGACAATTTACTCAGCCGGGTAATCGAGAGACTCGCGACACCTACTTAATATTAATAACGCGTCTCCCCCCTCCCTATCCGCCCCTGGAACCATACACACGCAAGCAGAACGGCAATTAACGGTGTGCGTATGTAGGTACCTATGTTTTTTTTAAATAAAATGCAAATAACCGGTAGTCAGGGTCCACGTAGTTGATAATCGGCACCCAGGCGAATAAAGTTATTTCGGGGACAACGGTCCGCGTGCTGGTTCCGCTTGTACGCGAAGGGAACGCTGGAGAAGAAACCCAGGAGGGACAGGGGGAGTCACGTGAGGGAAAAAGGGGTTACGGCGACAAGCGATGCGGGGAGAAAAAGAGGATCGAGGTGAGTAACAGCGTATAATGTGTCCAAAATGCACCTGCCTCTCTTTCGTGGCTCGCTATCTTCCCATCGACTGGTCGCAAGAAAAGGAGCTAGACTTCGGAGTTAGTCGATGTTATCTCGCCCCGAGACCAGCGAACCACTTATATCGTTAATTGCTCCCACTTCCGGCCTCTCTCTCTCGCTTCTTCTTTCAACGTCTCTTCCGCCCTCGTTTCTCTTCAGACCTAAACCCCTCCCACCATTCTACTCTTGCTCTTTCTATCTGTTCCCTTCCACACGCGGTTTTATCAGCCAGGACCTGATG